AATAGTTTTGTTATAATAAGTTTTACTTACCAAAAATATAAGGCCAGTTTACCTAAGGCAGAAACCCTTAGGCATACAAGGAGATACTGGGGAAAAGAAAACAAAATTCAGTCCTCCTTCAGAGTTCGACAAAGTATAGAATAATGTAAGTAAGAATTTGTATGAGGAAAACTTTCCTTGTTAAAGAACTTTACACTTTGAAGATAGTACCCTCTCATACCCCACAGAATTTTTAAAAAGGGGCCGGGGAGGTATGTACTTCATCATAAAGAAAACAGAAATAAACTCTAAAAAGTAGAAATTGTACAGGTTACCCTGTCTGTGATGCAATAAAACTAGAAATCCAGTAATTAAAAAAATAACCATAAGCCAGGCACACTGGCACACGTCTGTAATCCCAGTGGCCCAGGAGGCTGAGACATGAGGATCAAGAGTTCAAAGCCAGCCTCAGCAGTGGAGGGGCACTTAGCAACTCAGCGAGACCCTGTCTCTGAAATAAAAAACAAAATAGGGCTGGGGATGTGGCTCAGTGATTGAGTGCCCCTGAGTTTAATCCCTGGTACAAAAACAAAACAAAACAAACATAAATAACCTGACCATATGGAAAATTTAAGACATTTTTTAAAATAAGTAATTCTTCAAAGTATAGTATACTCTTGGATTAAAGATAAATAACATTGCTTAAAAGATGAACAAAAATGGGAAAATTTATTTGAAAATAATTATTCTGTTAGTAATCAGAGTTGAAAATAAATAAGAAAAGTTCCAAAGAAAACCAAAGAAACTAGGAGGGAGAATTTAAAAGGATAAAAATAGAAATCAACAAATTATAAAATAAAACAATAATCTTCCCAAAATGGCAATAAAACCTCACATAAGGTTTTTTTTTTTAATTGATAACATAGCTAGCCAAACTCCTGACAAATGTGACAGATATAAAGAGAGCAAAAATACATATTAGGAAAGGGAAAATCAGTATAATCAGGAAATAGACAAACTTAAAATAATTATAATAAATAAATACTATGTTCAGATTTAAGCCAGTACATTTTTAAATCTAGGTTAAGAATTTTCCATATATGAAGACACAAATGGTGTGACTCTACTTTGTGTACAACCAGAGACATGAAGAATTGGGCTCTGTATGTAAACTATGAATTGAAATGCATTCTGCTGTCATATATAACAAATTAGAATAAGTAAGTAAATTTAAAAATAGAGTAGACAATGTAAATTTTTTTAAAAAAATAATTTTCATAGGAGAATCCTTTACCATAATCAGGATTGATTCAAAAAGAGATTAAACCCTGAACAGACTAATTACCAAGAAGGAATTCAAAAGATTGTTGGGTACAACTAACAGAGACCCCTACAGTGGTATAGGTCAGTTTAACCCTCACATAACTAATTATTTTTATGTCATTTATACTGTTCAAGAATATAGAAAAGGCCAGGCACAGTGGCGCACCTGTAATCTCAGCAGCTCTGGAGGCTGAGACAGGAGGATCTCGAGTTCAAAGACAGCCTCAGCAAAAGTGAGGCACTAGGCAGCTCAGTGAGACCCTGTCTCTAAATAAAATACAAAATAGGGCTGGGGATGTGGCTCGGTGGTCAAGTACCCCTGAGTTCAATCCCTGGTTCAATCCCCCCCTGAAAATATAGAACAAAATACAAAGTTTGCATATCCCTGATATCAAAACATGAAAGACTAGTAAAAAAGAAAGATATAGATCAGTCTTACTTATGAATATGGTAATATCCTAAATAAATATTAGCAAATAGAATTCTGAAGCATCTTAAACGAATAATACACAAGTGGGCTGGGTTTTGGCTCAGCGGTAGAATGCTTGCCTAGCTGATCCTCAGCACCACATAAAAAAATAAATAAATAAAATAAAGGTATTGTGTCCAACTGCAAATAAAAAATAAAAATATAAAAAGATTTTTAAATTTTTAGAAAAGAATAATAATTAGGAATGATTTATTCCAAGAAAGTATGGATGGTGCAATTTTAGGAAATCCGATAATATAATTAATGTCATTAATTAAAGGAAAATGATCATATGGTTATTAGTAATAGACATTTTTAAAGCATTTGAAAATTCATTCTACATTTTGAGTGATAACTATGTTTTTGAAAGAATAAAAGGGAACTTCCTATACATACCAATATTGTTCTTGTTGTTTTTACTATTCAGACATTGGTTTGGTTATCATAATAGGTATCAAATGCTAAAATATTAAAAATGAAGGTAGTCTGTCTTTCCAAAGTTTTTTAAGATGAATAATCAATCAGAAATCCATTTCCCTAAAATAGCTTCAAATAATGCTGTATTCAGATTAAAATTTTCATCTCTTATAATGTTGGATTTTATTCTGAATTGAGGTAAAAAGATAAATGTGTGCCTTCACAATATCTGTGAATGTCTATAAACCACTCAAGTGGAACTTTATGGACAGTTTGCACCTGTGCTTTTGTTTATAGTATGACAGAGAAATGAAGAAGTGTGCCTCCAAATTGAAATATTAATAAAGCAGAAATAAATCATGGAACTAAAAACTAGAGCCCAGAATTGGACACTTTTCTTAGCAAATAGTACCTTCTCTTTGGGGAATGACTAGTTATTGAATTTTGCCCAGTCATCTTTCTAGGATGAATTGCCATAAACTAATCATTATTTTCATCTTTGTTACACTATTATTGCTATGGATACAGTATTGTGATAGGCATTTACAGACATATCGTATATAAAGCCAGGGCTGTGCACCTCAGCCATGAACAACACATACTGTGAACTGTTACCACCAGTGATTTACAGGTAGCAGTGAGTTCAGGAGGGTAATGGCATTCAAGCCAGGCATGTAGAGTAAGTAGAATTTCTTCATGGTGAAGAGAATGAAAAAGAGTTGCCCAGGTTAGAACAGTAAAGAAAATCATGGAGGCAGGAGCTGTAGGATATGTTTGTATAATCCAGTAGTACGCAAACCTATTAGGGTGAGGGTTCCCTCCCACCCATGGAGAGCTAATTCGGTGGAGATAAGAAAAGGTTCAGATACCTAAGTTTTTCTAAAAGCCCCATGGATGATTCTGGTCATAGTCAAGGTTTAAAACCAGGGATATAATCATTGTGTGACTAGGGCATAAGGGATGTGTGGAAGTCCTATAGGAGATGATGCTCGAAAGATATATTGGCATCAAATGATAACTGGGGTAAAAATTGTTCTGGTATTGTCAGTTTGTATTTTGAGTTTTATTTCTGTTACATCATCCTTCATTAGATATCAATTAAATAATCCCTAAACAAAACTTAACCCCTGGGTGAATTTGAAGCAAAACATGTTAAATGAGATGAATAAGTCAATTTACCATATAATCAACCCAAAACTTAAAAACAACAAGCATTTTATTATTGCTCAGAGTCTTGTCGGTTGACTAGACTCAGCTGGGCAGATCTGCTCTATGTGACATTGGCTGGGGCTGCAGACATCTGGGAGACTGGTGGGTCTTGAATATCTAAGATGCCTCACTCACGTGGCTTTCAGTTGACAGCTCAGCAAGGTATGTGGACCGGAGAGTCTTAGACTTCTCATAGCAAGCCATCTGAATTGCAAGAGGAAGCATCTTGAGAGCAAGCATTTGAAAGGGCCCAGGCTACAGGACTTCTCATGACCAAGCTTTGATAGTCTTAGACCTTATTTCCACCATATGCTATAGATCAAACAAATTGCAAAGGCCAACTCAGATTCAGTAGAAGATAAATGAATTCCATCCCTTGATGGGGGAAGCAGCACATGTATAAAAAGAGACAAGGAAATTGATGGGAGCCATTTTTAGAGACTCTCCACCTCCATCTTAATGCACCAAATAACATACTATCAAGATACATGCGGTGGTGCATGCCTGTAATCCCAGCAGCTCAGGAGGCTGAGGCAGGAGGATTGGGAATTCAAAGCCAGCCTCAGCAAAAGCAAAACCCTAAGCAACTCAGTGAGATTCTATCTTTAAGTAAAATACAAAATAGGGCTGGGGATGTGGCTCAGTGGTTGAGTGCCCCTGAGTTCAAACCCCAGTACACCCCCAAAATAAAATACATAAAACTGAATGTCAATAACAGTACAGTTAAATCAATAAAAATAAGAGGGTCTGATTAATATAAAATGCTTATGTAATAAATTTATGTATTCCCAATTCTTTATTTGGCAATAATACATCCTCATTTCAGGTCTCCATAGAATATCTGCCTCTCTCTCCCTAAAATAGGAAGCACTTGATCCCTGTACACACATAAATCTGAAGCCCTAACATGATATTTTCCTCAGCTCTCAACCTGGCTGAAATAATTACCGCTTTGTTTGTTTCATCTACTTTATACTGTTCTATACTAAGTGGGTTCTCCAGTTTGGGGAATCTGCTATGAATGACCTTTCTTACACATGGTCTGAATATTTGGGTTACATCTTTTAAGTTCTTCCCCATTTTTTATTTGTTTTCTGTAAAGAGCAGCATGGAAGGGGGTTTTATTTTGATTTCCCACAATGTCATGATAAGAGCAGTTTTGACTCGCCCTGGGTGCTCTGTAGACTTCAAGGTCACCATCCAGCAGCCATGGAATCTTCTGATTTTCCAACACTGACCTGGGAATTGAGCTGGAGTTGTTGCCATCACCTGTTTTTCTTTTTTCAAATCCCTTAAGGAAAAAAAAAATAGTTTTAAGGGTTTTATTTGCTTGCTTTGTTTTTGTCTTTGGCTTGCTTTCTGAAGCTTGTTATTTCACCATCCTGTTAAGATAGCGTTTGAGATGGGAACCCAGGTGGTGGGGATGATGTAATTTCCTGGCCTGTGACTGATGAGTCCTATTTACTTATGCGTCTATCAGTGTCCTCATATGATTTATAGGGGTTCTTTCTGAACTGGATCTTGTCATTAAGCCACCCAGAATCAGAAGGTTAAGCCCACAGCCATCTTCCTCAGTAATGCTGAGATCTGTTTGTCATTGCAGGTCGTCACGCTGTGGTACCGAGCTCCGGAGGTCTTGCTCCAGTCCAGCTATGCCACCCCCGTGGATCTCTGGAGTGTTGGCTGCATATTTGCAGAAATGTTTCGTAGAAAGTAAGAAATACGTTTTCTTTTTGAATCTTCAGTAGTTTAAGTGGCAGGATGACATGCCTGTCTCAATGAGGGTCACGATGTGGATCTGAGGTTCCTAGGTGTTCCCTCTAAGCCTACCCTAAAACCACTTTCTCATTCAGTTTTGTATAACTGTAGTTTCAAGCTCTAGGAAACCCTGTTTGGAAAGGAACACACCACTTTTCTTTCCATTTCCATTGTCTTTGTTGGTGGTGATAAGACATGATGAAAGTGGGGCATGCTGGAGTGTTTTTTAGTGAAGAAATATCCTCAAGGTGAACTTTAGCCACAGGCAGAAGACCAGGATTGTTAAGTTCATGGGAATTTATTAACAGAAATTTCGATGGTGAGAAGTATTGAAAAAAGACTAAGTAAGCTGAAAAGGAATAGGCAAGGAGGATGTGAGTGCTGTTTCAGAATATTTTAGGTGCTGCGATGTAGAGCAGAGGTTAGATGTATTTAGACACTGTAGTGGACAAAAATGGGACCAAGGGACACAGAAATTAAAGAAATAAAGATATTTGCTTAGTGGGGGGAGCAGTGTAATGATTAAATAATTATCTGAAAAGTAGATTGGGGGTTGTGTGTTCCTATTGGGTGTCCAAGGAGAGTCTGGACCACTATCCATTGGAGCTGCTTTCAGGAGCTTTTACAGGGCAGGTGGGTAAGCTCAGTGCCCTACAAGGCTGCCCTGATTCGGAAAGCCTGTGACTCATTTGTTTGATTTTCAGGTCACAAGAAATAGCCAAACAATATTATAAAGATCTGCCAGGAAAATAATTCACACCTGAGTACTAAATTCAGCCTGGTCAAAATTAAACAGAGAACCTAAATATAACCTAATCTCTTTATTTTCTGTTTTTGTTTCCATGAGAAAATGTGAGTTGAGAAGCTGAGTATATTCCCATTGTGCGTGATATGTTCAAAATGTAGCTACATGAGATCTCATCTGAAAAAGTCAGCCATTACTTTGTTTGTTTTAGCCACATCAAGTTTTATGCAGTAAATTTAGGAACTCCTTCTAGTACTCAGCAAATTCATCTGTAGCTCATAGGATGGGAGAGTGGCAGGGAGGTCAGAATATGCAGGTGTTTCATGGCAGCCGACTCTGTGTCAAGTACAGTGCCAACACAGTTCCTTTGTGTTACCTTTTTAATCCTTACAATAAGAGGAAACTGAAATGGAGTAGTCAATTTATTTGTCTAACATCATGCAGCTAAGAAGTAGGGGAATAGGAATCTAAAGGAAGTCTGTGAGTTCCAGTCCAGCATTGTTTTTCTGCAAAGGAAGAAAGAAAAATAGTAACATTCAGCCTAGCCACAGTATTTACCAAACAGGCCAGATAAGTGGTTGGGGGAGCATGGTCCCTGGATGGCAGCATTAGTATCACTTGGGACCTTGTTGGACATGCACATTCTCAGGCATCACCCAGACCTAGTGAATTAGAAACTCTTGGGCTAGAGTCCTACAAGCTATGTTTTAACAAACCTCTACTTGATGTTTCAGCCTTAAAAATACATGGACCTTGGTTTCTGATGTTACTTCCTCCTCTAAGCAATTATTTCCCAAGTTACTACCTTTCTGTAAGTTTCTGTAAGGAAGGAGAAAGGGTGCTTTCTTAAGTGCGCACATGAAGAGCCAGTGAGTCTCTACCCAGCATTTCACTTTTGCATCACAACAAAGCAAAATGTGCCACTGTCATCCGTGGCAACTTCATGGATGACAGTGGTACCAGGGATAGACAATCTTTACAAGGGAGGCTCCCAGGCCACTCCTTGAGATTCTGATTCATTACTGAACTAAGGCCAGAAATTCTTATTTTAAAAAGTACTTCAGTTGGGCGTGGTGGGGCACCACTGTAATCCCAGCAGCTTGACAGGCTGAGGCAGGAGGATCGTGAGTCCAAAGCCAGTCTCAGCAAAAGCGAGGTGTTAAGAAACAGTGAAACCCTGTCTCTAAATAAAATACAAAATAGATCAGGGGATGTGACTCAGTGGTCAAGTGTCCCTGAGTTCAATTCCCGGTACCAAAAGAAAAAGAAAAAGTACTTCAAATAATTCTTTTCATCCAACAATTGTAGAACACATTGGGTTCAGGCTTCTGGTCAGAACTGATAATAAGTGCCAGGCACAGTAGCCCATGCCTATAATCTTAGTGAATCAAGAGGCTGAGAGGCAGGAGGATTGCAGTTTTGAGGCTATGGTCAGCAACTTAGCAAGGGCCTCAGCAACTGTCTCAAACTAAAATAAAAAGGGCTGGGGAGGGCTGGAGTTATGGCTCAGTGATTAGAGTACTTGCCTAGCTCATGTGAGGTACTGGATTCCATCCTCAGCACCACATAATAATAAAAAAAATAAAATAAAGGTATTGGGTTCAACTACAACTAAAGTATTTTTTAAAGTGGGGACTGGGGATATAGCTCAGTAGTAAAGCAACCCTGGATTCAATCCCCAGTACAAAAAAAAGGGAATAAGTTACTATCAATATAGCAGAGCAGGCAGTCATTCCAGGTCATCCAAGGAGTAACTTGGTGCAGCTAAGAGGTGACTAAAAATATGCTTATTGGAATTACCTACATGTGTCTAGAATTTTCATCCTCAGCGTAAAGATGGAGTCCTTCTTTTGGTGTGGAGGGGAGGGTAATCAGTTATTTTTCAGCAGTTACAAGCTTGAATATTAGCCATGATCCATAGTAAAAACTGTTAAAGATAAAACCTAAGATATATAGAATTAAGAATTCACTAGTAAGGAATTTGCTATATTTTTAAACATAGGCAGTCCCTGCCCCTTGAGCAATTGCAACTCCAAATTTCATTTGCTAACATTAAAAACATTTTTCACTAGTAGTAAAGCAACCCTGGATTCAATCCCCAGGTGGTGCACACCTGTGATCCCAGCAACTTGGGAGGCTGAAGCAGTAGGATTGCAACAAAGACAGCCTCAAGCAAAAGCGAGGCACTAAGCAACTCAGTGAAACTCTCTCTATAAATAAAAGAAAAAATAGGGCTGGGGATATGGCTCAGTGGTTGAGTGCCTCTGAGTTCAATCCCAGTTCAATCCCCAAAATTTCTACTAACATGATAGTGTAATTGGTAATCAAGTTCTCAGACTAGCTTGCAGAATTCTGTATAACCTGGGGAATATATGAAACATCGCTTTGGACTAATTCATCAAATCTTTTTTTCTGTGGGAAAATTCATCCAGTATTCCAGTCCAATGTGACAGGAATACCCCTCTCTCCACCTTGGCACTGGGACTGAGAGGAAGGACTCACATACTAGAGTTTCAAGGAAAGGCTCCTTTTGAGGACAGCAGCAACATTCTGCTTCATTTTGCTACAAAAGTGAGATATTGGGTGAAAACCCACTGGCTCCTCACACGTACACATAGGAAAGCACCTTTCTCCTAGATTACAAACGAAGTAAATGAGAAATAATTGGCTGGGGGAGAGAGCAATGCCAGAACCAGGGTCCATGTGCCTTAAAGGCTGAATGAGAATGGATCCAGGACAATCACATGCCCTTCCAAGGCTGGGTACCCTGTCCTCTAGGTAGTTCCTGCTGTGACCTTGAATGTGGCCATGAAGTCTGAACTTTATTCCTGCTCAGTCACATTTTGGTGTTTCCTATGACACCTCCCAGATGGCTAAACACATCATGCTTCTTTTTTGTAGCAGATGTGTCCTGGGTCCAACCTCCAATTTGATCTGGATTCAGCTTGGCTCCAATTCAGTGTTGTCCAAGTTGAAGACTCACAAACCATGAATTCTAAACACAGACCCGTCATTACTTTAGGCTAATCCTAAATCAGGCAATCCCTCACATGTGTTCACTTGGAGTTCCTATTTGTCAATAAGTATTAATTCCCAGATTGTGGCATCTCTTTATCACCTTCATTGTTTTGGCCATAGTCTTATGACAACTGTACTTCTCCTTATCTAATCTTTTACTACCCTGAGTCACTTTACTTTTTTTATTTAACTTCATCCTCAACAAAAAATATATAAAATTATAGGGGCTAGGGCTGTGGCTCAGCAGTAGTGCACTTGCCTGGTATGTGTGAGGCACTGGGTTTGATTCTCAGCACTGCATATAAAATAAAGGTCTATCAACAACTAAAAAAAATAAGAATAAAAAATTTTAAAAAATAAAAAATATATATGCATATGTATATGTATGTATGTGTGTATAGATATAGATATATATATATATATATATAAAATCACAAACTTGGTAAGTCAGTTATTAATTTGTTTAATACAAATTAGAATATATAAAAACATTAAAATTATTAAGAAACTTTGTCCATGTTCATCCCCTGAAATCATCTTACCTATCACTAGTGGTCTAGGTCACCCACTGGAAACTCTGTCTTTCAGTCTGCAGTAGTTTATTGAATGGCTAAAGAGATAACAAACCCTAGTGGTGGAGAAAGTCATTACATGCATTGAGTAGGCTCAGTGCCAAGAAGTGTGGGGTACTGTGAATGGCTATAATAAGACTGTTTTAAGGAAGTAAAGTAGATTGCTCTGTGAAAGGCTATATGTCAGGATTAAACTTTCATAAAGATCATATTCTAATTTTTATATAAAATCTTTGCATCAATAAGGCTCACCATTATCCATGACCTATGGGGAAGAAAAGAAGCAGGGAGTTAACACCTGTCATGTTACAAGTGCCAGGCCAGGGCCCTTCACATTTCATCAAACCTACATTCTAAGGGATATTATCCAGAGTTTACATACATTGAATTGGGGCCTTCTGCAGGCAGGGTGAATAGAAGCACATGACTATCAAATGGAAGAGACAAATTTTAACATAGGTTCACCTCACTCCCAGAGCCTTTGATTTTCCTGCTCTGTCATGTTTCTTCTCATGCTGTTGTTGACCCACCAGGCTATATTTTTTTCTAGAATATTTTATGTATTACTGCAATCTATCAGCAGTGTAATATCTTAGGCTAAGAAGCAAATCACACGTATAATAGCTTTGATTTTCAGTCTATCTACATTGGAAAGATTGACTAATTCTCTGTCATATTATTAAGAAGTACATGCCTTCTATTCTAAAATTGAATATCTAGGAAATATGAACTCAGTAAAGAGAGTCTTGGGGCAGATGGTTGACAAAGAGCCAGAGAGTTTAACTACCATCTGTCACTATTATCTGGGTTTAACAATTGCCCACACTGACCTATAGAAGCATTCTGAAAAATGGATTACAGCTAGATTTTTATCTTCCTCCTTTAATTTTTCACCCATGGATAATCCATCTTTACCAATTTTCAGTTGTATTTTAATACTAAAAACCCTTGTTATGAATTTGGTCAGTAGCCAGCCCATTCAGCTTAATGGGAGGGGATGGATGGATGGATGGATAGGTATGATAGATTGATTTTTAACTACATGGCAAAATAAATTCACACTGTCAACTCTCCAGATGCCTGTCTGTTGCTATCCTGGTCAGGACCATAGTCTGTAGTTTGAAAGTTATGGGGTTTTCCAGCTTACAGCAAAGTCATAAAAAGAAAATGCATATTTCAAAAACAAAACATCCTACTAATTCTTTGAATATGGAGATTGTGGTAAACAGATAGTAATTCTTAGAAGTTCTGAGTTGCCAGCTTTGCTGATCCCTAGCTAAGGAGTGCCAAATGCCACCAGGAAGAATATAACAAACACAGTCACTGTTAGAAGGAAACAAACAAGGCTTCATGGTTACATGGCCCCTTGTCTGGTGGCCTCTCTAGGCTTGTCGTCATTGATTTCTATGAATTAAATACCCAGTATCTGGGAAACTATCAGTGAAACTGTCCTTTGTGGCTCAGTGGCCAGTGAGCAAATGTCTAAAACGTCACTGAATGCCTTGCCAGTCTTCCTATTGGTTTCTGCGTTGGTGCGTCTTCATATTTGAGTGCTTGCCTAGTGATATCAAGGAAATGAGGGCCTTAGCTGGCTGACCCAGACCCTGAGGCACAGAAAGAGAGCCCTAGACTATGAGAAGCAGCCCACCACCTCAGCTTACATCTACATGTGTAGATCCCAGGGCACTCAGCTGGACTTGCATATTTCCTGTCCCTTCTGGGACATTTTCCTAGACCTTTCCCTTCCCTTGCTTTAAAGAAATAGCCAAATGGGAAAATTCTAAAGGAGCATGTTTTTGAGTGAGGAAATACCCAAGATGGTACCCAGGAGAAGGACCAGTCTTGGTTGAGTAGTATATAAAGGATGGTTCTACATTAGACCAAGTGAATGTTTTTATAATGTAACCAAAACTGACTTTTTAAATTCTTAATGTGTAACTTGCTTTAATTATGAATTTGAAAAACATCTGCTACTATGAAGCCTGTCCCTTCCCCATTAGGGCAGCTTTGTAGGTCTCAGCTCCCTGGCCCAGTGCCCCTCCACTCTGGCACTTTTGTCTGCTGTTGGGTGATCTTCTCCACAAACTAGGTCTTAGTTGAGTACTCTTCCAACCATTCTGCCATCATACGCTTTTTCCAGCTTTGTGTTTTCCCATCCCTGTTCTTAGCATTTAGCACCCCCCTTCTTTGGCTCTTTCTACCTCTGTTAATCGTTCTACTCTGCCTCTTGGAATCCTTGTTCTGTGGCAACAAGTTACCCTGCTTCCCTGAACTTTTTCACATAGTCTCCTTCTTCAAGGTCAGTACTGTCAACCTTTCTCCTGTAGATGTTGTGTCCCCTCTAGAAGGGAATTGCAGTATTCTTAATCATTTGTTGCTTTGAGAGCATGATTCTGCCAAAGCCCAGGGCCTTTCCTCTCTCCCCACCCCTTTGTCATCCTCTTAGACTCCCAACTTCATCTTAACTGCATCTCCTGGGGACTTTCAGGACCAGTGGTTTTTAGCATAGTCGCCACAGAGTAAAGAGAAATGTTTCTGGTAGAAGTGCTTTGCACATTGGAAGAGACAGAACACTTTGAGGGTCCAGATCAGCTCAACAACTGCGTCGCTCTGCCCACACTCTCCTTGTCCCCCTGGCTTGTACTTTAGCTTTCAGTGACCCTGTGATGAGCTTAGGTTCTATGCTTATTTCTCAGGGACACTGCACCTTGGGAATACTATTATCTAAATGCTTCACCATTAAAAGGAGAACTGCTGGGCTGGGGATGTTGCTCAGTGACAAACAGTGTGGACACAAGTTGTACTGACAAAGTGCAGAGCAGTGTTCTTTCTCTGGAACTAGACAGCTGAGTCTGTTCCAGCCCGACCAGCTCTGTGACAGAGGGCAAACCTTCAGCATCTGGAACCTAGTGTCCTTTTCTGGAGTTCACTGTGCTTCACAGAGTCCTCAGACCCTCTCCTGAGTGTGGTCAGAGGAGGAGTTCCCATTCCTCTTTTTTTCTATATTGGGATTCTGAGATTTAAAAAGGTTCTAAACTATTGGAGTAGATAATACCCAAGATTCAATCCAGCTCTGGTATACTTTGTAGAACCATGTCTTGGTCCTTTCTGGAACCCTTAACATATCCAGCACAGCTCATGCTCGTTGACAGGGCTTCTTAAACATCCTTGTGTACTGTCCTGAGCACTTGACATAGATTATGAAGTTTAATCCTCCCAAGTGTCTTGCCCAGATCCCATGTCTGGTCATTGGCAGCGCTGGGACTTGGGAGTTCTATGACCTACAACAGCAACAATGAGTTATAAATGAGCTACACTGGGAAATTAGTCAGGCATAAGATAGCATGTAATGAATATAAGTAATATTAAATGAATCGGGTATTTTAAACTTTTTTTCATACAAAGTCTTCAAACTCCAAACTTCAAGCACATCTCAGTATGAACTAGCCACATTTTAAGTGCTGGTGACCAGATGTACTCTGTGGGACAATGTAGATCTAACCCACCAAAGAAATGGATAAAGAGGAAACAGACAACTTGATGTTTATTGGGAAGGAAGAAGAAAACAACTCAGTGCCCTTTTCCCAGATGCATTGATTTTGCATTCTTCTGTCTCCTGTTGTCTTCTTTCCTAGTTTGGGTGGGGACTATAGATAGAAGTTGGGTTCTTGCATGTAAAACCAGCAGAGCTAAGGTTGATGCAGCCACCTGGCCTTCTTCCCCTGAATTAGGGATGCTTGAGCGCCAACTAACAAGTAGAAAATAGTGTTAATCGGCACTAGCAAATCTTCCCCAGTGTGTCTTTTTTTAAATTGCTTGCACGTGGGGAGCCACATTGTCTCTGTGACCTCTCACTTCATATGTCACTTTCAGAAACTTAAAATTGCTAAGGAAAGGACCAAGTTAGGAGATCTAGATGCCAGTTAGCTTCATTTAAAAAAATTTAAAAATCTGGTTGTAAAAATGCCAGATGTTACAGAAATGTAAACCCAAATGTTATCTTTCCAGTACTTCCATACAGAACCCCAAAGACTCCCTGAATATACTTTCATATCTTCTTTTTTATAAATTCAAGAGTGCATGTATACATTCACGTTTAAAATATATAAATACATATGCACACATTGCTCTTCAGTAAATTTTTTGTACAGAAATGGGCTTACACTTTGTGCTAACTCATTTTTAAACTGAGGAAAATAAATTCTTGCATTTATTGAATAGTTTAATTTCCTGTTGATAGATATTTAGGATTTATTTGTTCATTTCATTTTAGTCCTATTATAAATATTGTTGCAGTAAAATCCTTGCATTTATTTTGTGGAACATTTGTCCAAGTATGTCTCTACGGTGAATTCCAGAAGCAAAATTATAGGGTCAGATAACATGCATATTTTTTAAATTCTTCTAGCCAAACCAATTTACCCTCCAAAAATCTTACAGTAAAAATCTGTTTTTAGCTTAAAGTGAGAGGTAGAATGAGATTCTTGAAGATAGGAAAGGTAGACAAGAGTAAATAAATCAAAAATTCTTACATAAGTGTTGGCTACTTCTTCTACCCTTATGTAAAAATATCAACTGGAAAACATAAGTGAATGTGGTAATTTTGTAATGCTGTTGTTAGGCTTGGTTTGATGCATAAAAGACCTCTTTCAACTGTAAAATTTACTGTGGGTTTCCTTTTTATCAGTTGGGTAGCAATAGGGAAGGAATCAACCTCATTTTGTCAGTTAAAAAAAAAATTATCTTAGATAAAGTCACAAGCACTTTTTTAGACTGTTTTTTTCCAATATACAGCAGGCCCAGACATCATTCTACAGAGTTCCGTAATGCCTGCATTTGGAGAATATCATTTCTTGAGTTGTGATCTTCCTTCCAGGGAGGACCTAGACCCTGACACACACTCTCTTCACCAGTTCTTCCTTGGTAGCTCATGAATGAGTTTTGCCTTCTGGGTCTTTGCCTTGGAAAAACTCTGGAATCTCTTGTATCAGCCACTTCCTCCTATTAGGAAAAGAATCAGACTAATAGTGTCAAGTCATCTGGTCAAAGGCTTAGGTCTACCTGGTCACATCTTTCAAGTTCAGATATCTAGTTTGAGGCAAGAAACAAGATACTTTTTAATTATAAAACACTGGCAGAGAAAGAAAATATTTGATAAATTGAAAGCCAGTTCTCACCAATCTAATTTTAACGGGATGGCAAACTTACCTCCTTTTTATCAAGAGCAGGAGGGTAGTAACTTCTTCCTTGCCCTACAGAATTTACTGTTAGCTGGAATGTGGACCTCCAATCTAAGTCTGGCCATGGTAACTCTTTCAAAACATGATGTAACATTTACATTTGTTGCTTTTTTAACATTCATACAAATTTATTAGACAATAAGTGCAAGTAAATGATAAAAGATATTTCAGACAAATGTAAATTCATGTTATTTCATTATACATGCCTACATAATTTCCTTCTAACAGTGCATAGGTGCTAAATTACAATAGTAAAATGTAACAAAAGATTCTACTAGATCTTGTAGTAAAGTGAGCTGCTGTAGTGGCAATCTGTAGGACACTCCATTTGGCCCACTGCTACAGGTTACTCTCTGTCTGCCTGATACCCAGTTCCACCAAGAGTTGGCCTCTCATCTGGCTTTCCCATACTGGCTAGAGGAGATGCTGTCTGATAAGACCACTACTTGGTTTAACTGAGATGCATTGAAAATTTCTCCTCTTCTTTCTTTCCCTCTGTCTTTTCCAGTGACTCTTCTCTGTTGCTTTCTACCCCCCTCTTCCTCCCATTTTAACCTTAAGAAATAGCATTCAGCATGATCCTACATGTTGAGCTTCTTTGATAAAATGTGAGTTTGTGATTTATTGCTCCAGTTCTGCTTGCTAAATTAAATTTATAAATATTAAAGCTTACTCTTAGCAGTAAGAGTTGGTGCTAAGGAGTGTGTGTGCATCTGTGTATGTATGTATGTATGTAAATGTGTGCACTTCTATGATTTGATAGCAAAACCTGACAGACAGCTACAGACATGTGGGCTGTACTTACTTGTGAATTGAAATATTGCAATGAACACTTCAAAATGGCAGTGTCCAGTGGAAATTAGATTTAGCTGTCAGCTGAGTTGGATGTTACCAGCTCTTCTCATACCACTATCTGTTTAAGAGTTTATAGGACATTTTCTGTCAAAAACCTTGGGAAGTCAGGCACAGGAGCCCACTGTGTTGCCAATTCATTTAATTGGGAATAATTTTTTTTTTTAGAGAGAAAGAGAGAGTGAGAATTTTTTAATATTTATTTTTTTAGTTTTCAGTGGACACAACATCTTTTTATTTTATTTTTATGTGGTGCTGAGGATCGAACCCAGGGCCCCACACATGCCAGGCAAGCACACTACCACTTGAGCCATATCCCCAGCCCAAATTGGGAATAATTTAACATACTAATATTACAATATTCAGAAGAAATTTGGAAGCCAACCACTCACTATATGTTCTTACTTGACAAAGTCATACCGAATTCTCCAGATATCAGCATGTAAGAAAGTTATTTTCCAAAGGCACTCACTTAAGTGGGATAGACTACTGGTTAAAAACGGGACTGAACTTAGTGCTTAGACATTTCTCATTTTTTCCCCTCTAAACTGGTAACCTTATTTTACAAATAGCGTATTAACAGCCTCTTGATTCATTACCTTTGTGAGCTCTCTATCAGAATTTATTAAAAATAGTAGGAGCTTTTAATTTTAAATATTGACTGTCCCGGCTTCATTTCTTAACTGAAAATCACAAAAACATGCAACATGAAACACTAAGCTGGCAATGAAATAATTATCAAAATTATGTGGAAGAATTTCTATTTAGCCAGAACTCTAGAATTAAAAAATCATTTGGGGGCTGGGTGCACTGGCATATGACTAAAATCCCAGTTTCTCAAGAAACTGAGGCAGGAGGACCACAAGTTCAAGACCAGCCTAGGCAACTTAGCAAGACCCCCATCTCAAATAAAACAAAGGGTTGGGGGTTGGGGATATAGCTCGGTGGCAGAATACATGTTGGATTCAGTCCCTGAGTACAAAAACAAATTGATGACACGGTTTGTTATGTGCACCTGGAAATAGGTAGACTATTTTTGCCTCCCTCACTCCCCTTGTTTCAAAAACACAAGGTTGAATTCAGTTGAAAAAATGATCAGCTGTTCCAATTACTGCTTCTGTTGAGACCCACATGCTCAGATATTCCTTGGCCATCACTGGCCATTAGTTCTCTCTCACTCCCCACCCCACCCCCAACTACAAATACCAGAAAAACATACCTGCCAAAGGAACAGCGGGGGTGGTGTCTGGAAGTAAGAAGAATGGGACATCTGTAGATGGGGAGAGCCATGAGAACAATATTAGATAAAAATGCTAGAAATTAAAATATAAGAGCTACTCAGAGAGCATTGAATGTTTACAGAATGAGTCTGAAGTAATATCTCCATTATGTTAACAAAAAGTTTTGTTGGGCAGAAAACTTCTTTTAGAAGTACAAGAGAACAAGCAGAAAAAAAAAATTCTTTTTGTAGCTTTTGCAAAAAATACTACTGAACAAGGCAAACTAACATTCCAAAAGATTTCCCTAAAAAAAAATAGAAAATTCTGAAAATGATAATTAAATATAAGCAATATCAGAAAAAAATTTTCCAAAAATTAGTAAACTAAGTCAGCAGAAGTCTAGAAGATGTGTTCTCTAAAACAAAAACAAAGAATTGAACATCCTAAAATGCAAAACCAGCAAACAAAGCTGTAAAGGAAGATGAACAAGATGTGGAATTCTAAGGAAATTCAAGTCAAGCACTTACTTAAATTAAGAAATTAAAATCTGACAAAAGGGAGTAAGAAGTAGAATTCCTACTGTTGGAATCATCGATATAAAAGACAATACTAGAAGTTCTCACAGAATGTGAATGTAAAGGACAGATGGTGAGAAAATGACAGATATGAAGGGTAGAGAATGGAAATTGAGCTAAGAAGTTGATGGTCTTTGAAATACAAAAATCAAAACCATGACCAAAGAAACATGTTCCTAAGCCGTGAACAGACTTGGGTATGCAGAGCAGTCTCGCAATATTTGGAGGCAAGTCATTGAAAAGAAACACTAGTGGGCTGGATGCTCAGAGCTGTGAGTGCAGAAAGCTCAATTTGGATCAACTAGATTATAAGGAAATTTTTGGTTCTCATAAATGGCGATTCAGACATAGGTGAGCTTCAGGGCTGGCTTAATCCAGAAGATACAGCTCCTTTTCTATCTTAGCATCTTCGAAGACTCTCTTCGCCCAGGGCAAAGTGACTGTAGGAGTTTCACTTTTCACATCTGCACACCAGGATACTCAGAATGAATCGTTCATTCTGTCCTAGGATTTCAAGTGGGATTCCCAAGTTTCATCCTTAGAACTGTGATAACACATGCCCACATTTGAACCTGTGACTGAGACCAGAGAAATGGAATTTGCTAATTAGCTTCAAGAGAATTTGAAGAACATTTTCTGTTACAAATTAAAAGGAAAAATGAATATTGGGTGGACAATCTAAGGAATCCACTCCAAAAACTGACTCAGAGCACATCCTAGAAAAAAATATTGGAACTGTATAGAGAAAGAAAAAAGCCTTCAAGGATCAAACAAACTTATTTTACAGCTTTACAAAAAGGAAACAATCAGGCTGACCTCAGACTTTTCTTTTGTTTAACCAAAAGCCAGAAGAAAAGAATAGAGAAATAGTGTTATAGAGGAAAAGTCTGTAACCCAAGAACTTCATAATCAGCTGCACTGCCTTGGACTTGTGAAGGCAACAGAAAGCGTCAGATATGCAAGGATCACCTTGTGCTTGTTTGTTAAGTATCAGTTGGGTATACTTGAGCTAACTGTATGGGATGTCCAAACAGGTGCCTCAAGAATGCCTTCCGCTGTCGTATATAACTCATTAGAACAAATAAATACAAAAAATAAATAGAAAAGAATGGGATGCCATGACATGGAAGGACTGATGGGATGCTCCGTAGACCCAGCACCCATCTCTTCACAGAAGCACTCAGGAGAACTGTAGACCTCACCTGTTTGTACTGGCCACAGTAATGATGCTATAGGAATGTGGTTGGGTTAGTATATTTTTCAAAACATCATCTGGATGAGGCTTAAAAGCAAATAATTTCATTAGGAATTATTAGTCCTTATTATGAGAATGGTCCTGTAATTGGACTTCAGAAATTCCCCCCCCCCCGAAAAGCCTCAGGCAAGAGCATACCATCAGATTTGAAAGTGTAATTATATATGACTGAAATTATGTTTCATTTTAGCCTACCTATGACTAAAAAGAAATCGTCTCTAGACTTTTTTTAAGAACTTTAAAAAAATAAGAGAAGAGTAGGTCAAAGCGAAACACTGAAGATGAAATGGAAAGGGAGATGAGTGAGATAAGAAACTATTAAGACAAAATGAAGGAGGCAGCTTAGAGCAAAACTGACTCTTAGGATTGAGGAAGCGATGCAGAAGGCAAATTGAGTTGAAGTTTCAGGGGATGATTTGTTCCTTCTGATAACACCATGTCTGGCCTTTTTCTCATTGTTCTTTAACACTGAATTTCTCCTTTTAGAGATGATCACAAAGTAGAATTAATCAAAACAGTTGATATGCATGGAATTGCAAGTGTTTGTGCTGTAGTGTGCCTCCCGAGACGTAATGGTGCACTCGTGTTAGTGTTAGTAATGTTGCTCTGTCCCTCACTGCTCGAGTACTGAGGCACCTCCATTCCCACTGGGGAAGAGCCACTGCCTGTCTAGGCAGCTCCCTAGATGCCCCTGCTTTTCTTCAGAGCCTCCCTAGGATCCAGCACTGGCATTATTACCAGCTGCCATACCAGGTTTGTCCAGAACCTGTGTTTTTTAATATTATCTCAGGCTTCAGAGATACCTTCTTGGGAACATACATTGGCTGTGAAATCTCTATTTTCTTTAAGTCCCCTGTATCATCCTGTTTTTCCGGCAGTGGTTTCTTCCAGCTACCATTTGAACAATTGCTGGTCTTTATGCTCTTTATAATATCAGAGACCTACCACTAGTTCCTAACTCCCAGCAGATCTTTCTCATGTTTCCTGGACCTTAAGGGCTTAAAACTTAAAATTCAGTATCTATCTGTGAAATTGTTCCTTTGTTTATTCTGTAATTGTTGCTGTCTGCTGTCTTGTTTTAAGGCGGACTTGGTATTGCCATTCACCACCAGGACTGGGATGTCTCAGTTAGAACTCTCCCCTGGTATGAGGAAGGCCCTAGGAAAATGGTTCCCAGATACGTCTACATCCTAATCCTTCTGAATTTGTATTTTTTTTTTTAACATGGTAAAAGAGATTTTTCAGATTTAAATTAATAAAGTTTTAAATAGGGAAATGATTCTGGATTATCTGTATGGGCCCAATTTAAGTATCTGAGAGCAGAAAGATGTGGCAGAAGGGAAAGTCAGAGGACTGCATCCAGCCGTGGAGCTGACCTGCGGTTACTGGCCCTGAGAAGTTTATGGAGAACACATCAGGAACTAGAGGAGAGGCCTCTAGGAACTAAGGGTGGCCCTAGCTGACAGCCAGCAAGGACCTCAGTCCCACAGTGTTATAACCATATGGAACTCAATTTGGTCAACAACCTGAATGATATCGAAGCAGATTTGTCCTCGAAACCTCAAGAATAGAACACAGATCTGCCAATACCTTGATGTCAGCTTTGTACAAGTCTAAACAAAGAACCAGCTAAGCCACGCCATACTTGGACTTTTCACCTACAGAACTGTGAGATGGCAACATAGGTGTTGTTTTAAGCCACTAAATTGGTGTTAATTAGTTAGAGCAATAAGAGGAAATTAATAAATCAACATTAAAAAAATGGCAACAACAAAAAGCCCAACAGGGTACAGTGAAATGAACGATAAACATGGCAGAACACACAATCCAGAATGACTGTTGACTTGCACTCTCTCTGGCTGAGTTTGTCTACATAGCAAGGAGCGCACTAGTTCTAAAAGCCAAGCAGATTCAGTGGGTGCCTGTGCTCAACACCCAACTAAGAGGATCAGGAGTTTTGGGGGAAAACATGAAAATGTATGTGTATGTGTGTGTATTTTTATGTAAGAAAAATATTTTAGAGATGAGCCTGATTAACAAAAGGGCATTGCCCAGTGCTGAAATCAGAGTGTGGGGGTAGTGTTTGCAGCTACTTGTTTGTTTACTTGTAGTCAATATTGTGTATAGTAACAAGTTGGTAAGAGGAAGAAATTATGCAAAAGAGAGATTGTTTTGACAATGAGTACACACTGTTCCATTTGTATTTTATTTCTTCTGGTACAACCATAAAACTTCGAAAAAAGTTTCTAAGATGTGTTAGCACAAGGTCTGGGAGAAGGCCACTTCACCCCCATTAGAAGATACTGAGTTGCTCTGCAATGTGAATTACACTAATAATACAAAAGTTTACTAATATTTGCTGTAATTCCAAAGTAGACAAGCGTAGGGATCGGCCCTGTGGAACCAGACTACGTGGGTTTAAAATCCTAGTCCTTTCACTTACTAGCTTTGTAGCCATGGACCAGTTACTTAACTTCTCTGTACCTTGGTGTCCTTTTCTATGAGAATACATAATAAGATACCTCTATCATGGTTTGTTAGAAGGATTTGATGTAAATACATTTGGAAGCAATAAATGTTAGCTGTAATTCTTATTACTGTCCTTTCCTGGAACATGTCATATTCTCACACCCTGGACCCAAGAAACAGTTGAATCCAAGGAGTGAAAATGGCCTAACTGACCTTTATAAGAGCCAAATAAGGACATCTAGGCACCTGTCCATCCTTTCTGCACCCCTCCTACTTTTGTTTTTTGGGGTTTTTTTTGGGGGGGTTAGGGAGGGAGTATACTGGGAATTTAACTCAGGGACACTCAAACACTAAACCATATCCCCAGTCCTACTTTATATTTTATTTAGAGACAGGGTCTCACTGAGTTGCTTAGTGTCTCGCTTTTGCTGAGGCTGACTTTGAACCCGCCATCCTCCTCCCTCAGCTTCCCAAGCCCCTGGGGTTATAGGCATGTGCCATGCCACCACGCCTGGCTGCACTGTTATTTTCCACTTCAAATTAGTGAGACTTTATAGGTAATACTGGCATAATAGCGGTATTTTCCTTACCGTATAGATCTTCATTTTCATAACATCGTATAGAACATTTCTCTGTGTTCTTTATCCATCTTTTTCTATGAATAGTGCTTCATGAGGTGAAGTAAGCATGCTGTAAAATGATCTGTCAGAACTAAACTAATTTGGAAAATGATGGGTTAAACAAAGTTTTCT